ACTTTTTTTGGCATCTGACGACATATTTGCTCTCCAGGTGTGCACATGTATGCGCTCCAGAAAACGCATGATTGTTTTCGAGGTGCGCGCATGTGTGTGCGATTTAGGTGAGCATTTATGTTTGCTCACGTGTGCGCATATGTGTGTTCCACATGTACACACATGTGTGCTTTAATCGCACACGCGGTGTTCCAGGTGGACACATGTTTGTGTTCCAGTGGTATACATATGTGTGTCCCACGCGTACACACATGTGTGCTTTAATTGCGCGTCTTTGTGTTCCAGGTGAACGCATGTGTGTTCCACGTGTACACACATGTGTGTCTGAATTGGACACGCGTTTCATTTTTTTTTTTCTCGGACCTTTTTCCGTCAAGCCGCGGTGAAACAGGGTGAAACACGCGACCGGTCCCTACGCGCCCGGCGCCCAACGGGCGTCGGACAGGACATCGCCCTCCAGCGGCGCGCTGGCGTACGCGTCGCCAACGTCGGTGGGGAGTTGGCAGAGGCTCGCAGCGAACGCTCCCTGCGCTGCGACTGCGAGCATCTGCCCCCACCGGCGCCTGTACGCGGCTGCGACCGCCGTGCGCTGCGCCGCGGGGCTGGCGAGAGCTCGGCCCTGCGCGATGCGGTGGAGGAAGGCCTCAGTCTCCTCGCCCCATCTCCCTCCAACTTCGAGGGCCAGCACCGTCAGGCGACACCGCCGGGCTCGCTGAAACTCCGGGTAGGTTACCCGATGCTTGCGCTCGGCAGCGGTTCGCAAGGCGAGGCCGGGCTCGTGGTCGGCGCGAGATCGGCTGCTCCCGTCTCGCCGCAGCGGGCTGACGAGCGTCACATCAACCGCTACCTGCACGCCTCCAAAGGCCGGGAGTCCATGCGCGACGACCTCGAGCCGGCGCCCGTCGGTCAATGGCAGCCCGAGGTTCAAGTCGCGGAGGAAGACGTTGGTCGCGACCCGAGCTCCCGCCTCCCGGCAGATGCGCGCCGCAGCGCGCTCCAGGGGGCAAGCGCGGCGGACCAGCACACCGGCTGTGGGGCAGGCTGCCCTGTGGTCTCCGAGCTCGTCGAGGGCGCCACCGCAGCGGCAGGCTCGGGCTTCAAGTGGCAGTGGGAGGCGCAGGCGCCGCAGGAGCACGCAGCGGAAGGTGTCATCCTGCAGCGTGAACTCCTCGCGTGTTGGCAGCGCCGTGAGAGCGAGGCTGCCGCCTGGCCCAGCCTGGGAGAGCAGCAAAGCCCGAGACGCTCCGTCAAGGTCAGAAAGGAGCGTCTCAAGGGCCCGCTGATCCAGGCTGGCACAAGCTGCTTGTTGCCATCCCCGTGCCGCGTCGCCGAAATGGCTCGCCTCACCGGTGGCGAGCCCGTCCGCGAGGGCCGTCCACGGCGGCGCGTGGAATCCCGCTAGGCGCAGAGCAGCCTCAGCCTGGGCCGCCGCCCGCGTCGAAGGCGCGGCGGAGGCGCCCCGCGGATCGGCCAAGCCCATCAGCATCCGCGCGAGCACGCGCGGGTGCCGCTCGCCTATCACCGGCATGGCGTCCGCCCAGGAGGCCCAATAGGCCGCGGCCCGGGACGCCGCAGCAGATCGGAGGCCAAGGCCGCCATACCGGAGTGGCAGCTGCGCACGCCTGGCCTGTAGCTGGGAAAGTTCGAAGGGCTCGTCCGTGCCGCTGAGCAAGCGCCCCAGGCAGCGGGCAATGGCCCGGTCGTGGGACTCGGCGAACTCTCCCGTGTCAGCGGGCGGCAGTACGCGGAGCAAGTAATTGCTCCGAGGCTGCGCGCAGAGGAGCAGGAGGAGCCAGGCGCTCTGCAGGTGCGTCAGCGCGCGCGGCGGCGGGGAGCGCATCCAGTAGTGCACTGGGTTCCTCGCCCGCGGCATTCCATGCCCGCGTCTTGCCCACGGATGTTCGCGCGCTCCCAGAGCGCTGTGCCGAGGGCCGTAAAGGCGGGCCCGGCACGCTCGGGCTGGCAAGTGACATAGATATCGTCCAAGTACGCGTACAAGTCCTCCCCCGGGGTTAAAGCCGCGTGCGCTTGGAGCAGTGCGGGATGCTGCCCCAGCGCGTATAGGGCGGGCATTAGGGGATCCCCCTGCTCGCCTCCCTCGCCTTGTGCGATCTCGTGCGCGGCACCCTCGGCGTCGTAGAAGACGTAGGTGCTCGGCTCAGCGTAAAACTGGGCCACGAAGGGGAGTAGCGCCGTGAGGTTGGGCGTGTGCTGCAAGCCGCTCAACATGCTCGCGCGCGAGATGTGGTCGTAGGCCCCGACCCCGTCTATGCTGAGGACCGTGGTGCGGGCGTCGAGCTCGGTGGCTGCGCGCACCGCGCGTGCGAGGGACTCAGCCCCCGCTCGGGTCCGCAGGGCATACTGGAATGGCGCGCAAGCGGCTTGGAACGCTCCAGCATACTGCTGGGCCAGCGTGCGGGCCACCAGCCGGCGGAACGCGTCGCTCATGACAAGTCCCCGCACCCCGCCGTCCGGCTTCCGCAGGCCCACCATCCTCCCTAAGCGCACGCCGGCCAGCACGTCGGCCGGCACATCGGCGTTGGCCAGCCGCTCTGCCGCTCGGAGCAGCAAGTCGGCGCTGGCTTCGTCGTCCGCGAGCACCCGGAGGTGTTCCGCTGTACATCCGGACGGCCCAGCTGCGGCCCCCCTGCGTCCACTGCGCACGTTGCGCAGGAACCTCTGCGAGTTGAGAGCCAAGGGGTCGCGCGGGTGTCTGGAGCGGAAGTCCGGCGGCAGCGGCACCTGGCGTGTAGGCGGCCGTCGCTCCGGGTCACGCAGGGCGGCCAAGGTCTCCAGCGACGCAGGTGCCATCGGCATTGCTGTCAGGGCGGCGCTGGCTGCAGAGAGCTCCCCCAAGTGGGCGAGCGCCGCCGCTCTCTCCGCGCGCCGCTGCGCATCGTCGTCCGCTGCGTTGGCGCGTGACGGGCCAGGCACGTCGCTGCCGGCCGCCGCCTCTGCGGCGGCGTCAAGTAGGCCGCGGCACTGCCCCGCGGCGAGCAGCTCTACCCGCTTGTCTAGCTCCGCGCGTGGCACGCGCGTTTCCCCACGCCCGCGATATAGCAACATGCGCGGGGCGAGGAGGAAGAGCTTCCAGCCTTCCGCTGAGCTCGGGTCTCGCTGTACCTCGGTCAGGCCGGCGGTCAGCGCGGCCTTCAGGGCACCGCGCATGGGGCCGGGAGGCGACTGCAGCGTGTAGACTCTCCTGCGCAACTCGTGCGCCAAGTCGACCTCTCGCATGGCTTGGAGAGGGTCGCGCTGCTCGCCGGCGCTCGGTGGGGCCGGGGGGGCGACTGCGTTTGCCGGCGCTGCCCGCGCGTCGGCTTCGCCCTCTGCGCGCCTCTGGCGGCGCGGGCGTCTGCGGCGGCGTGGGGCGGCAAGCCGGGCCGCCGCTGCAACCGCCGCATCGTCCCGGGGCGCCAGCGCCGCTGGTCCAGGGCACGGCATTCTGCTGGCGAGGTCGGCTCCCGCACTTGCAGCGTCCGCCGTTCCTGCAATCTCCGCAGCGAGGCTGGCTCCGCCGTACAGCTGCAGCAGCGCTTCCTGGAAGGGCGCCAGCAAGTAGCCATCCGGGGCCTGGCAGCGCGCCACAAGTAGCGGGAGGCTGCAAGGCGCGTCGCCCCGCATGCCTTCAAACGCTTCGTGGGGCCACCATTGCACGGGCCTCGCATCCAGTGCCTGGTGCAGTGATACGGCTGCGCGGGCCTGGTCCAGCGCGACAGGGGGCGCGCCGCGCAGCTGCGCGAGCCAGCTCCCCCAATGCGCGCCGAGCACAGCATGGCTCCGCCACGCGGCGGACGCGGCCACTTGGAGTTGGCCGGCCGCGTCCAGCAGTAAGGGCACAAACAACCAGGACCGGGGAGCGTTTTGGGCTGGCAGGTGCTGCGGCCCGCGGCGTGTCCAGGACGCCGGCGCGACGCCTTCCACCGATGACGGGGGCGTGTCCGTTCCACTGCAGGCCGCCCAGCGTGGGCTCTGCCACCACACGGGCGCTCCTCGCCGGCCCGTGGCGTGTAGAACTCGACGTTCTCGGTCGGGTTCAGGCCCATCTGCGCCAGTGCGTGAAGGGCGCGCTCGCGCCGCCCTGGCGCACATGTGTGTTCCACGTGAACGCATTAGCGTGTCGTAAGTGAACACATATGTGCGTTCCACGTTTGCACATGTGTGTGTGCTTTCCAAGAAGCACATGTTTGTTTTCCAGCTCAACACATTTATGCGTGTGCCGCAGGTGAATGTATACTGTTTCAGTCGTATACGTATGTGTGTTCCACGTGTACACACATGTGTGTCTGAATTGGACATGTGTGTTTGAACTGCCCATGTGACTGCGTGCTTGCGCGGCCACACTTGCGTTCACGCGCGCGCGCTCGCCCGCCATCGCGCGCGCTTGCCCAACCTCAGTTCTGGCGCGGTGCTGAAGCGCGAAGCACGCCAGCAACACACGTGCAGCAACGCAACGCGCGCCAGGTTCACGACTGCATCATTTTGATTCATCCGTGTTGAAGCGCAGAAAGCCACAAGCTGTTGGCATGTTTGTGCTCGCCCGTCAGCCCTCAACTGTTTGGGGTCTCTGCTGGTGTAATTTGATCTAAAAAAGTCTCAAACTGTTGGAAGGCTAGGGTGCCAGCACCCTAGGCTTCCAACAGTCCGGACCGGTCGGGACTGTTGGAAGGGCTCTTTTTTGCAAACACGAAACTGTTGGAAGCATAGGGTGCTGGCACCCTAGCCTTCCAACAGTTTCGTGTTTGCAAAAAGGAGCCCTTCCAACAGTCCCGACCGGTCCGGACTGTTGGAAGCCTAGGGTGCTGGCACCCTAGCCTTCCAACAGCTTCGAGTTAGGATTGGCTCCAGATAAGAAAGCCAACTCTCCTAGAACTGCAAATGGAAATGTGATTAAAGCCCGGATGGAAGCAATCAGCGACTGTTAAAAGTTGAATTTGCTCTTCTTGAGCCCTTTTTGCCTTTTCAATTTAAGTTGGTGACCCTCTTTGCAAACAGCGAGCCTTCCACCCAGCATCTTCTGCAGATGCGGTCCCAGAGATTCCAACTGGGTCTGCAGAGGGCAGGTCGGCGAAGGTTGGACAGGCCAAAATCTCCTGCACCGCCTGCTCCAGCTCATGGTGGTACTCCATGTTCAGATTGTCCTGCGGCGGCGGAACCGCTGGACCATGAACCAGCACCACGTCAGCCGCAGCCGCCGCGGCCTTGGCCTTTGCCTTGGCCTTCTTCGGCGCCATGATTGCTGCGACGACGAGCCCCGCTACTGGCTTGAGCCCCTGTCACACATCGGCGCCTTGCTTCACGACAGTCGGGCGCAAATCACACTAGGCAACACAGCTTGACAAGTCTGGCGAGCTCCAACAGGCGTTTTGTCAACAGGCGTTTTGTCACACTCCTGCCTGTGCAAAGTTTTCTTTTCACCTGGCCCCGGTCCTGGCTGTGCCTGTAACGTGTTGTTACTCGCCCTTGGCTGATTCTGCTCAAAAGGTGCTCAGCACCATCCCATGGAATGCCAGCCTTGCCGGCGTTTGCCGGCACAGGCTGTTACATTCCGCAAATCCCCTTGGCAACGCAGGCCTGTTTCGCAACGAACTGCAAAAGCCCTTGTTTGCCAAACACATTGTGCTCAGCTGCCCGGATTGCAGCTTGCTCGCTCATGACAGCTATCACAGCATAGCGCTTCGGGTTCTTGACCTGGGGGCCGGCGGCCCTGGTGGTCATGTGGACAAAGTCCTCTACGGAAGTCAGCAAGGCCCAGCGTGACAAGACACGCCCGCACGCGCACCGCAGAATGCGTGCAAGATCAGGTTCTTCCCGGACAAAGCAGTGGCTGATGAACACGCTTCTCTTGACTGCGGTCGCAGGAAAAAAGTCAAAGGCGATGCCCTGGGCGCCGCCAGTCATGAAGTACATATCGTTGGCGACATACCCCCCTTGCAAGGCGGCTGTCCACAGCACTGCTTCTGGCGGGTTGGCTGGGTTCAACACGATGAAGTTGTCAGCTTCCTCGGGGCGCGCACGGACAAGCGCAGGATTGGCACAGTCAAGCTTCGCCAGCTCAGCGTTCTCGAGCCAGAAAGTGCTTGTCTGGAGGTTTTTGACCATGGCCGGGCGAATTAAACTTGCTCGCTGCCTTTCCTTGGTGACACGGTCACGGTTGTTCTTGGCAACGTTGGCTTGGAAGGCTTGGGTGACCTCCAGCAGGTCATCGTCGATCTCGCCTTCAAGCAGCGCTCCTTCCAGCAGGGACTGGACACGGCACTTGTACTGCTTGCTTTGCTGAAAAGACTGCTCGGCCAGGAGGCTTGCGTCCCACAGCCCCTCGCTTCCTTGCTGTGCAGCGTGCTGCGCCTCATCTGCCGAGACCAGGGCGGCTCGCTTGCCAACGACAGAACGTCGCTTTTGCCTCAGCCACCACCGCCGCACAAACTTAAACCCGACAAGCCGAACAGCCTCAAATCGAAGCAAAACTGACTAAACTGCAACTGCCGCCTGGCCGCCTGAACCCGATCTCATTTTTTCCGTCTGCTTCCTCGTCGTCATCGACTGGTCGCTTGCGAGGGACTCCTTTGTCAATCCTGTCCAGCGCAGATGAGCGAGGTGCTCCAAAATTCTGCAGCCACACCTGCACTGCTTGTTTGCATAGCGCGTCCGGGTCCTCCGCATGGAACAGCAGCCTCAGCTCGGTGTCCTTGGTTGCTTCTGCCATGAGCCGCCGGTCTTTGGGGATCAGACGCTCGATCTTGGAGAACCCCTGCTCCACCCCCGAGGTAGTCAGGCCATTCCAAGCCCCATAGTAGGCCAGCGCCTGGCCTAGAACGTCTGTGGGATGACCGCTGCCCTTCCCCTTGCGTGCCCGCAGCACGGCGTTGCGCCACGACTCGAACGGCCTGCCAGAAGTAGCTGCCTCATGGAGAGCGATTGGCAGGATGTCCAGGTATTGGTCGTGCAGCGTCTGGGCAGGCAAAAGCAGAACATTGGCGATGCGCTCCAAACTTGTCTTGGCGTTTTCCTGGTGGTTCTCTCTGCTTGCCATCCGGCGATTTGTGTGGGCCTTTGAAACATCAAAGGCGTTGAACGCCATCACAATGTCATGGCCAGGAAACTCTGCCTTGACAGTGTCCACTGCCAGGGCGACGAAGACCTGAAGCCGCTGAACCATCTGCAGGAGCATCTCTGACGACACTCGCCGTGGGCCGCCCAGGACCTTGGGCACACCCTTGGCCATGAAGGCTGTTTGCTTGTCGAGCTGGCGGAGCATGTGGAGAGTGAAGCCCTGCTGCAGGATGCCACCCTGCAGTAAAAGTAAGCAAACCCTCAAAAAGCCACAGCCTTATTTAGCGCCAGGCCTCATTGACCAGGTGGTGGAGTCTTGAGAGGAAAGCCGAGACCTCAAAGGCTGTCTCGCTGACGTCATATGACTCACGGTCATACAGGCGCACAAAGCAAATGCACTCATCTGCCAGGTCAGCTGCCATCGAGAGAAGAACAAGGCGCTCCTCTGACAACTCAGCAAGGAAGTCAGTTGCTTGTTTGGCTTCGTCCCCATCGCGGTTTGCCGAAACCCAAATCAGGGTGCTCAGCACGGCATCCCAATGTAAGATCAGTCTGCCAAGCGGCTGGCTGTAACTGGCAAAACGATGCTTTGCAGCCTGCAAGCTTTTCCGGCTGGATGCCACATTGCCACCTTGCTGCTGCACATACCTCGCGAACACCCCCTGTAGAACAGGTGAATTCTCAATCTTGCGGCATATGCAAGTTTTGTCGAAGACAAATGTTTGCAGCAGCCCAGAAATTTCAGAGTCAGCCTCCCATGGCCGTTTGAAGACCCGTGTCGCAGCGTGGCTCCGGTCGCGCTGAATTGTCAGCAGGTTTGGAAACAGCGCGCGGCCGGCTTCTCTTCCAGACCCTTGCTCACTGCTTGCAGCGTCAGCCACAAAGATGGAGACTTTCTTGGCGAAGTTCTTCATTGCAGCCTGATCGCCGTCAAAGACGTGCATGAGTATCTTCTCCATGGTCTTCAGGGTGTTGGTGATTGTTTCTCCGCCTTCCACAGGCAGCGACCCATGCCGCGGCGCACAGACAGAGCCTTGTCGCACGCCGTGTACCGCATGAGTAACTCTGCCTTGCGGCAATCCTGCCCAATACAAACAGTCACAGATTCGGATAGGATTTTCCGGGTTTCCGCCCTCGCAGCTTCTGCCAAAGCCCACTGCATTTGACTTAGTTTGAATCGACCGCCGATCCCCAGAATGCCTTGGCTCAAACTGTTCCCAGCTTGCCGGTGCTTCAGCACCTTTGCAAAGTCGCCTGCCGCAGGCGCGAGATTCAAGTCAGGGACGTCGCTGTCCATGCCAAGGCTGTCAAGCGAGAGCTGATGAGAAACAGAGGTGGTGTGAGTCTGAATGTTCTTCAGGTTCCCAGACCGGACGGCGCCAGCAGCGTACTTGCAGCACTTGCCAGCCTTTTTGCAGACCCAGCACCCAATGCCCCAAATGTCGTCCTCACTGCGACACTGCGTCAACCAGGACACAGCCAAGGCTTTCCCATGTAAACGAAGACGAGTGGCTTCTTCCCACGACTCTCTATTCCGGAGGTAGCAGCATCTGAAGCACCGAGCATTCTTGCAGCTCTTCACGTGCGCGATGGAGTCGTCTAATTTTAATTCCCCAGAGTCAGCCTCGCCTTGGCTGCACGCAGTGACCGCATCTCACACTGCCTCAAGCTTGCCCGGTGGTGTCGGGGGCGCTCTGCCCGCCAATGGCCGAGCAACGCGGCCAAAGCCGGGGATCATGGCGGCGGAGCCCTGCTGCGAGTGCCCTGTAAGCCTGTGTCTGGGTGTCCTGTGTTGTCCTGCGGTGTCCTGTGTTCTGGGTGTGTGCGTTGGAAAATACCTGCTCGGATGCGCAAGTCTGTGATTTAACAAACGCTGCTGCCTACTTGCCTAAATAATGGCTGCAGCGCACGGCCGTAGATTGCGACACTGTGCTGCGCAAATGTCCAGGCAGCGGGGTCGAAATGACACGGACTGCGCAACGGCTTTTGACATTGCGGTCTGACCCTGATGAGCATCTAATTACATTGGCTGAGCGCGGTAAAACTCACGCACTACTCCACATGAAACGAGACAAATGGCCATTCGTCTTGATCCAAAGTTGAGCATGTCTAGCGCAGCTGCGATTGACTTCCGAAGCAGGTTCCGTTCACTTTGAATCAATTGTCTGGCTCTTCCAAAAATGCATTGCCACGCCTCAGGCCACCAGGCGTTTGCTTTGGCAGGGACTGCTCAGAAGGCGGGCTGGACACGACGCAACTCGCAGCACGGTGCTCCTTCAAGAATCGGCGTATATCTTCGGCCAACTTTCGTGCAGATGCCCAATCCTTAGTTGTTTGTCGATTTGAACTTCACCCCAGAGCTCCACAAACATCAATGAACAACCCCAACACTTGCCAAGTTTCTGATTCGCTACATGTCTGGCATCTATCTTCCAAGGCTGGGGTCGTGTAGATGTTCATCACAACATAAGGGCATGGCCTTCGTTGTCGGCGAGAGGGCATTGGAGGCAATAAACCCAGCCAACTTGCCTATCCCTTGAGAACTTCAAAGCGTGGCTGCGAACTGAATGTTGTCTCTGTCTCTTGCTTCTCAACTAGTTGCTCAGTATTCAGCATGAACACTTGCGCTTTGTCCACACAAACGGGGCCGACGCTGACGGGGCAAGCACTTACTTACTCTTGAACGGGGGGAACCAGTCTAAACTTTCGTCATAATAAGAGGACTGCCTCTCCGGCATCATCGATGCTACCTGTCATGCAGTGGATGCCTATCCGGCAGATGCTTGCTTGCTCAGCAAGATCACTCGGCGACAACGCACAAGTTCCATTCGCTTGCTTTTTCAGCAAGAATCACAACTGCTTATTCAGCAGTGATAAACCTCAGAAACGACTGGCAATGCGTTCAGTCAAGCCTGCCTGCGCGCACACTCCCAACTCCAAACGAAGGGAGGTAGTTCAAAATGGCAAACAACGCACTCAATTCTGGCAGGTGTTGCTTTTGCAGCACGTAACCCAGGCTTTTTCACAAAACCTGCGCTCTTGCATCTTGCTTATTCAGCAAAAATGTTGATCTTGCTTACTCAGCAAGGATGTTGATTAACAGTAACAAACTGCTTCCCCTTTGCTTATTCAACAGGAACGTTAAGCCTTGCTTATTCAGCAAGGATGTTGACCTTGCTTACTCAGCAAGGATGTTGCTGACCAACAGTAACAAACTGTTTCCCCTTTGCTTATTCAACAAGGACGTTAGGCCTTGCTTATTCAGCAAGGATGTTGATCTTGCTTACTCAGCAAGGATGTTGCTGACCAACAGTAACAAACAGTTCCCCCTTATTATTCAGCAAGGACGGAAGCCTTGCTTATTCAGCAAGGATGTTGATCTGGCTTACTCAGCAAAGATGTTGCTGACCAACAGTATCAAACATTTCCCCCTTGCTTATTCAGCAAGGACGGAAGCCTTGCTTATTCAGCAAGGATGTTGATCTTGCTTACTCAGCAAGGATGTTGCTGACCAACAATAACAAACATTTCCCCCTTGCTTATTCAGCAAGGACGGAAGCCTTGCTTATTCAGCAAGGATGTTGATCTTGCTTACTCAGCAAGGATGTTGCTGACCAACAGTAACAAACATTTCCCCCTTGCTTATTCAGCAAGGACGGAAGCCTTGCTTATTCAGCAAGGATGTAGATCTTGCTTATTCAACAAGGAAGTTTCTGACCGAAAGTGATAAATATTCCCGCCTTGCTTATTCAGCAAGGAGGACATACGGCCTTGCTTTTTCAGCACGGAAATTAGGCCTTGCTTCTTCAGCAAACCCAAAAGGGGATAAACATGTTTGAATGCTTTGCTTACTCAACAAGGGCGGCAAACGCATTGCTTCTTCAGCAAGGACGCTAGGCCTTGCTTTTTCAGCAAACCGTGGGCATTGCTTCTTCAGCAACCAAGTGACAATGTAGAACATTTGCTTTGTCAGCCAGCAATTGCTTTTTCAGCAAGACCGCGCGCTCTGCTTGTCCAGCAGAGTGTTTGTTTCGTCAATAAAACCTCAAACCCGAAGGCTTTGCCAGGCCTGCGCCACAGCAGCAGCAGCAGCAGCGCCGCAGCGCCACTGGCAGAAAGCCTGAAGTGTGAGGCAAGAGCCAAGATTGCAATGTCGGTCGCTGCCAACATCCAACTACTGTCTTCCAGCTCTCCTTCTTCAGGAATTGAATGCTTTTTCAGCATTTCAATCTTCATCGAATTTAAAATTAAGAAGTGAAAAGCAACAGTCTACTGTTGGAGGCCGGTTCAACATTGTTCTTAGAACTCCAGGTCTCGCGCGCGGACTGATGTGTTTCAGCGCTCCCGGCACAGGCCTTGCTGTGTCTTTTTGCGTGGCCCTGCCCCCAAACAGACCAACAGTCACCGCAACTGGGAAGACCATTTTTAGTGGTAGGTGATCTACATTTCCATAATCCACTGTTAGTGAGGGGCAGGGCCCAACATGTGCGCGTAATACCAGCAGGATCTACTTCAGATCCTCATCATCGCCAGGCTGATCGCCGTCCCTGTCGCTGCCGCTGCTCCGCCGCTGCCGCCGGTTGTCGCCTCCGCCGCCACCGCCGCCACCGCCAGAGCCACCACCAGCGCCCGCCTTGGCCTTGGCACCTCCGGCGGCGCCCGCTTTTGACGAAACGCCCTGTGCAGATCCACCGCCGTCGCCCTCGGGCTTAGCCGATCCACCACCATCGCCCTTTGCAGATCCACCGCCAGCCTTAGCTGATCCACCGCCAGCGCCCTTAGTAGACCCGCCGCCGCCGTCGGCTGACCCACCGCCACCGCCGCCGTCGCCAGCAGCGCTGCCAGGATCGCCACTTCCAGCAGCGCTGCCAGCTGAGCCACCTCCAGTCTGGCCACTGCCAGCAGCCCCAGCGTCGCACTCCTCAGCCGCATCAGCAATCCAGCTCCAGTACTCGAACGCGATCGACACCATCTCTTCCAAGCCTTGAGGGGCAGGGCCTGCAAGCACCTGACCACCCAGTGTCGCACTCATTTCGGCAGCGTTCGACTCGTGGACCCACACACAACGCGGCGGGCCTTGTGCCGGCTTTGGCTTTGCCCTCGGCGGGCGCTGCCATTGCGCCGATGCTGGCCGCTTCATAGCGGCGCTTACTTGACCTGCGCTATGACCTGTGCTACTTAGCTGACCTGTGCTTACTGCACTGACATCAAGTTGCCAAAGCTGTCTTGCGAGAATGCACTGATATCAAGTTGCCAAAGCTGTCTTGCGAGAATTCTTTGTGACAGTGCTCCAAACACTCTTGATGCTTTTGGGCCAGACATGCAGACACAAACAGTGGAGTGGCACCCCACATGGCTTTTTCAGCCTTTGGCGCTGCTTACTCAGCAGCAGGTAGTGCAAACAGCAACCACACCAAACTGCTTCTACTACTCAATTGTGTTGTTTAACATGGAAAAACTGGTGTTTCTCAATTTGGCGGCCAGATCAATAACCCTTTTCCTATTCAGTAAAAATGCCTTGGAAAGTGCAACAACACATCGTGTAGCTCCGCATCAGTCGCAAACCTACAGCGATGAGCCATGACTAGAACAAGGAGCGCGGCAACAAGAAGCGTTGCCCCTGTGAAGCTAAAAGTCGAACCCCCCCCCTGGCGCAGGTTCAGTCAAGCAGCCAAGTGGCAGCTAGCTGCAACACTGGGCGGCTGCAGCACTGGGCGGTTACCTGAAGCCACTGTTGATGAAAACAAGGTGTTGGGAATTGGGCTGCGACAGCCCTTGGCGCTGCAAAAGCGCGAAAAAACGGGCTGTGAAAGCCCTTGGCGCTGCAAAAGCGCTTCCCCCAAAGTCAGCGAAAGTTTCAGATTGCGGGGTCAAAGTGTTTTACAGGTTTAGGTTGTCAATTGCCTTTCCAAAAGCACGACACAAACCCAACAACTGCGCTTCAAACATTTTTGGGGGACTTTCTGGGGCCCAACAGTTCAAACGCTTCTTTGGGCGTCTTCTGTCGATGTGCTTAGCTTTCTTCGGGGAGGGGGGCCACAGCTGATGCGTGTGTGAACACAACGAACGCACCATGTTAGTAGCTGCAGGCTTCAATGAGTCAAACACATGTCCGGAACCCCGGGATGTTTGGAAAACAAACGCAAGCCAGCAAAAAACACAAACATTCTAGTGAAGGAAGGGAAGCAACTTTTGCCATGGACTGCCCTGCCAGCTTCCCAGAGCTTATGCAGCTCTGGCGTTCAACTTCAAGTCCGGTTGGGAGTGGAAGAGAGTGGAGTGGAGTGAAGTGATCCGAAATGGCGTGAAGTGAAGTGATTGAAGTGAAGTGGTGTGAAATGATGTGATGTGTGGTGTGGTGTGAAGCGAAGTGGTGTGAAATGATGTGATGTGGTGTGGAGTGAAGTGGAGTGGAGTGATGTGATGTGATGTGATGTGATGTGGAGTGGTGTGGAGTGGAGGAGTGGAGCGGGATCAAGTGAAGTGGAGTGACAGTGAAGGGAAGTGATGTGGAGTGAAGCGGGGTGAAGTGAAGTGATGTGGAGTGGAGTGAGCTGAAATCATGCAGTGGAGTGGAGTTAAACGGTGAAGTGAAGTGAAGTGAAGTGAAGTGAAGTGAAGTGAAGTGAAGTGAAGTGAAGTGAAGTGAAGTGAAGTGAAGTGAAGTGGAGCGGGTGAGATGAAGTGAAGTGATGTGAAGTGCAGTGGAGTGAAGTGAAGTTCAGTGGAGTGGAGTGGGGTGGAGTGGAGTGATGTGATGTGATGTAGAGTTGAGTGAAGTGGAGTGAAATGAAGTGAAGTGATGTGATGTGATGTGGTGTGGAGTGGGGTGGGTGACGGTGGAGTGAAGTGGGGCGGAGTGAAGTGAAGTGATGTTCCAAAGCCTTTGAAACTTGAAGTTAAGCCAGTTGGATGTAGCTGTGCATTTGGTGGGGCATGCTGTAAGGGTGACCCATGATGGCACCTGGAACTCGGAACTTGTTGCTTTGAAAGGGAGGGAACATCATATGTCACTAGCTCCCTTCTGTGGCCAAAAAAATATTGAGTGCTTGCAAGGGCTTCCAGGGGCGCTTTTTCAGCGCTCAAAGGCACTTGTTCAGTGCTTTGCGTTCACTTGTCAGATCATTGCTTCGGATCTAGTGCTTTCACTTGCGCTTGTTCAGCGCGCGCTTGTTCAGCGCCTTCACATTAGCGCTTGTTCAGCGCGCGCTTGTTCAGCGCTTTCACACCAGCGCTTGTTCAGCGCGCGCTTGTTCAGCGCTTTCACCGGCGCTTGCTCAGCGCCTGTCCCCGCCTTGGCCCATCCGGTCGGCTTGTCCACGAAGAAGTCACTCCAGGGGGGGGTGGGAGGCAAATGGCTTACTAGTATTATCGGGGCACGGTTGCTGGAAACTAGGCATAACATAAAGTTTAGATATTTACGGTTTCAACCAAGTCTCAAGAGGCATGAACCCTGAACTGAAGCGACACCGCTGCAGCTGGAATCTAGAAGGCGCCTGTCCACACACTTGACTGAAAGCAAAGCTGAATCTGCGCGTAACCCACGCTTTTTCAGCACGGGTGTTGACGATTAAACTTAACACCTACGCTCTTGCATCTTGCTTACTCAGCAAGGATGTTCATCTTGCTTATTCAGCAAGGATGTTGCTGACCAACAGTAAGAAACGTTGTCCCCTTTGCTTGTTCAACAAGGATGTTGCTGACGGAAAGTGATAAACACTCCCCCCTTTGCTTATTCAGCAAGGAGGACAAAAGGCCTTGCCTATTCAGCAAGGATGTTAGGATTTTTCAGAAAACCGAAAAGAAATAAACATGTTTTGCGCTTGGCTTCGACAATAAACATGTTTTGCGCTTGGCTTATTCGACAAGGGCGTGCGTACATGTTGTGCGTGCTTTTGCGTGTATGCCCGCATTGTGTAGGCTTTTCTACACCGCACGCACTCAAAAAGGTGTCTGACCTGACCAAATGTTAAAAATATTGGAGCTTTAGCTGAAGAAAAATTAAAAAATTATAGCTAACCACAAGCAAGTCTTCGAAGCGCAAGTGGAACATTTGATTCTTTGGCTTAAGGTAGTAGACGAAGAGGAAGCTGTAGGGCTCCCGAGTCGCCTGCTCGTAGATCCTGTGCAGCTTGTCCTTCGGCAGCAGGGCGCTCAGCTCTTCGATGACGGCCTCCAGCTCGTGCTGGTTGCGCAGCCTCCAGCAGCAGAGGAATTGCATGTTCACCCGCACGGCTGCGCTGATTAGTCTCAGCTTCTGTGAGCTGACCCAAGTGCTGATCTGCATATGGCGGCCCCTGATGAAGAGTGTATCCAGGGCGCCGTGGGCCTTGTGCAGCTGCGGGGTGTCGGCGAAGTCGTCGATGACTACAAGCACCTGGTAGAGTTTCTTCATTTCCAACTTCTTGGATGTCTCGGTGATCTTGCGCTGCCTCTGGATGATGTCCCGCAGCGCTGCCTCGTCCCACTCGTCGTAGTAGGCCCTCTCCCTCTCGGTATTAACCCCCAGGTCCTCCTCTATGTACTTCTTGACGGGGATCCAGCCGTCGTCGATCCCAATCGAAGGACTGAAGATATAGATTTTCTCGAAGACTCCGCGGTATTGCTCCAGAATCATGCTGATCAGCGCCACGGTTTTGCCGGACTTGCTGGGGCCGAGGAAGATGCCCTGTACATGGTACCAGGGGCACCACGGGGTCCGAGGGCTGTTTGCTGCCATACTCAGCCGTGGGAAACAGCTTGATCTTCCCCATATGTCCTTTGCCTTACTTCCCAAATTCGACGCGGGGAAGGCGGGCAGTGAGACCGGGATGAATCTAAAGGCTGGCATGCGGCTGAAGTACATGGGAAGCAAATCGTGGTTGGCCCCACACGTGGACCGGCTGCTGGGGGAAAAATGGTTATAAGGGGGGCCCTGGGGTAGGGTATTTTCAATTCAAGGTTTCAGGGGCAGGGTTCATTTTCAACAAGCAAACCATTTTGTCCAAAACACCAAGGGGGATTGTGGGGAATTTTCCTAAATTTTCTCAACATTTTTTTACAATTTTTTCATTATGAAACAGTCTAAGATTTCATCATTTTCAAGGTTCGGGTTTCAGACAATTTTATGGCTTTCTGGGGGTTCTTCATAACGCGACTTCGCTCCGCGCAGGTCTGACATTCTGAAGTTGCTCTACAATGCTGTCGTCTTGAAGGGCGGTTCGGTCTGTGTGTCGTGTTCTGTTGTGTTCTGTTGTGTTCTGTTTGTGTTGTGTTGTGTTGTGTTTGGGAACCATGTGGTCTTGAACCTCGTCATCAACTTGTTAGTGCGCCTTGCCTGTTTATGAGAGAGTGCTTCTCATGTATAGCATTGACACATTCAACATCTGAGTTGGTGATCATGCCGATTTCTTACCAAGCGCTTTTGTTGTAGTGACTTGCCTTTTGCTTCCTTGCTTTTAGCATCATGGCAACCGGTGGATACAATGATGTGGAAAAGGTCATTGTTGAGCAAGACCCATTGCTCAACATTGATGTGGAAAAGGTCGCTGTTGAGCAAGACCCTTTGCTCAACAGTGATGAAGAGAGTAGCAGTGATTCTGGTCTCAGTGATCGTGATGGTGCAGAGTGGGATCTCAACAAAGACACCGTGCTTTTGCAAACGATCACAGAGATGGAACAGAAGAAAGACATTGTTGCCTTGGAGAATGCAATGAGTGTCGCAAACACCCGCGCCACCAATGAGATGAAGGTCTATATGCACATCAAGGGCATTGTGGAGAAGATCAAGAAGCAGAACAAGGGCAACACCGACAAGATCAAGGTCATTTGCAACTATGACAAAAAGGACTACAAGGTCATGGTTGAACCAGATGGCACATACAAGTCAATTCGTGAGACTTGGTGGATGAACCACACCAAGGCTTTGAAGGACTACGGCTTCACTAAGGGCACTTTGGTGACACAGTGCTTCATCAAAGGCGAGTTCAACAACAAGGATTTGTCAGAGACGCTCAATCACTTCTTGGGGCATCAAGGAGGACAGCATCATCTACTTCACCGACCTCACCGAGAAGGAGCTCAACTACAAGAACATCGCAAAGGCGGAGAAGCAGTCGGCGAAGGTCTTGAAGACCAAGGCGAAATCTTCATCGTCATCTACCACAAAGTGAGAGATTTTAGGATCGTGAGACGCTTTCAAGTAAGTCCATCATGATAACATACACATCTACATTTGATGCTTGATTTGCTTGATGGCATTGAAAGGCACAAGACGATGTCTGACTATGGGTTCGGTGGGAACTGACACTTTGAAAAAGACTGTTCCGCATTTGCTCTTAACTTGAAATGAAGATGCTTTGGATGAACTGATCCTTTGTTCTGCTTGAAGGCATTTGTTGCTGTAGCGTCCGTTGTGTCCCTTCTCTTGTCACGATGCCGGTGCGAAAGACCTTTTTGAAGAAGAAGGATGCGGTGAAGGCGCTGACTCAAAAGTCTTTGAAGGTCATGAAGCAACGCTACATCATTGAAGATTTTGAAGGCACTGTTGCTGAACCTCTACCTGCTTGTCTTCAACAAGCAGTAAATCCCATTCGTGAGAAGTTGGATGAAGCACGAGCACTACTTGCTCAAAACAGTGATGCCATCAAACAAAGTCTTCATCAACTGTCAGATGATGAACTCAACTACCTGAAAAAGGAGTTTGAGAAGAAATCATACAGCGAGAACAAGATTGTTCAGGCAATGAGCATTATGGTCAAAGACCTCGGCAAGATTGACACCTATGTTCATCACTTGAAGGCTTTGAAACAGGATGTCATCGCCAGTTTCGTTGAGGAGTTCGGGTCGATCTATTCTCGTGAAACCACAACAGAGTTGTCATATGATGCCAACACCTTCAAGGAAGATGTCAAGCAGATCCTTTCAGACAGAAGGGCAATTACAAGACACAACACGATCCAACGACGAGAAGGAGAACAAGAGCAAGAAGGACAAGAAAACAGATGCTGTATAATGTGATGATGTGGAAAACCGCATTTCAAGGGTGCGGAAAACCGCATTTCAAGGGTGCGGAAAACCGCATTTCAAGGGCGCGGAAAACCGCACCTCTATGGGTCTGTGTGTTTGAAACACTTTTGACCCATTTATTTAATCAAAACAATCATTTAATGCCAGTTTTGCCATTGGTCAGTAGCACCATTGCGGATAAGACACTGTGAAATGGTGGCAAATCCAATTTAATCAAAATAACAGACCACGATGCACGAGTGAAAAAAAGGTCTCATTACCTGCTTTTTGATTGACAGCAAGTTCCTTATTGTCTCATTTGTGTCATTGTGATCTTGCGCTCTTTTGCTTCGCGACAGGTTGATGACGGCGACATCATCTTCGGTTGTGGGAGCTCAGAGCGTTTTTTAGTTTTTAACAGGACTCCCCCCTAAACCCGCCCCCAAATATACTTAAAGAGAAAATACCATATATAGTATAGAGAAATGGCAGGGGAATACAGCACGGGTTCAGTAATTGAATATCTATTATCCAATAATGAAGGTCAAATAAAAACAGGGAAGAATAACAAACCATTGAAAAAACTAATCATCAACAACAAAGAATACTATTACAACAAAGACAAACCATTATCCTCATCACTTCAAAACAAACTCAATCAAGTCAGCAACACACAAGGTTTCAAACGATTTAATCTTCTAAAAAAAGCATCAAACACAATGAGAGGCATTAAAACAATCCAGAAATACAGATTAAAAATAGGAGCAAAAACATCAGAGACATTTTCAGCCTTGGAAGGGTACGCCAACACATATTCAATATCCAACATACCATTCAAGGGATACAAAGGATTAACATATCTTTTATGGCAAGAAAAGAAACTAACAGAGTTTTTACAACAAGCAAAGTCAATGAAACTACTGATTGATGTTGAGGTTCTGTTTGATAAAGTTAACCAGCAAGATGATGATGATGGAGAAGACGAACCAACTGAGGAAAATATACAAATAAAACACGATATGAGGAGTAGGAGATACAACATTTTGAATGTAGGAGACTTGAAAAAAGCATTGGAAAATATGCCTAAAGATATTGAACTACAAATTGAAAACTCACCTTTGAAACATTCAGGATTGAAGATTAATAAGATTAACAAAATCACCATCCACTACGACAAATACAACCCGAACAGAGCAGGTAAATATATGGAACTACCAGAATGGATTTCAAAGAAAAAAGCATGTATCAACATTCAAAATGATGAGGATTTATGTTTTAAATATTGTGTTTTATGTAAATTTTATGAAGTCTTCAAGAAAGACCATCCACAACATATGAGACACTACAAGAAATTAATAACTACTGAAAGTCTAATTAAATGGGATGGTGTGAATTTTCCAGCATCCAACGATGACATTGACACATTTGAAACAAATAACCAAAATTCTATATCAGTTAATGTTTATGTTGAAGATGTGAACCAAACCATCAGAGCAGACAGAATAACGAAGATTGAAAGACCATCTTGTCATATCAATCTATTACGAATTGAAAAAGATGATAATGAACATTATGTTTTAATAAAAGATTATAATAGATTAATGGGTAGTCAAACCAACAATCACAAAACAAAGATATTTCATTGTATTTACTGTCAGCACGGTTTTCAATCAGAAAAGCTTTTAAATGCTCACATATCAAAAGGTTGTGTGGCAAATGACATTCAACAAACAAAAATGCCAGAAGAAGGAACATCAATGAAGTTTGAAAAGCATTTTAAGAAACTGAAAGCACCATTTGTTATTTACGGTGATTTTGAATGTTTAACAACAGAAACATCAGAAGGCATCAAAGGGACTTATCAGAACCATAAACCCAGCGGTTATATGCTTAACCTTGTTAATGCTTATAGTGGAGAAATGAAACCATTTTTATATAGAGGCCAAGATTGTATGGATAAATTTTGTGACACATTAAACAATATTAGAGACGATGTAATGAAACAAATGAAAAATCCAAAAGATATGATTATGTCAGATTTAGATGAAATTAAACAATTAGGAGCTAAAAAGTGTTTCTTATGCAATGGCACTTTTGACAACAGAGTAGAAGCGAAAAAGAAAGTTGCTGACCATTGCCACTTTACTGGATTATACAGAGGAGCGGCACATATGAAATGCAATATAGACTATTGTTTTAAAAAATATCATATACCAGTATTCTTTCACAATCTTAAAAACTATGATGCTCATCTCATAATATCAAATCTTGAAAAGTTAAACACAAAGAAAGAACAAATATCAGTAATAGCACAGAACAGTGAGAAGTTTATTACATTTTCATTAAACAGACTTGAATTTAAGGATAGTTTCAGTTTCTTGTCATCATCATTAGATAAACTTGTTAAATTAACAAAATATGAAGATAATAAATTAAGGGACAACTGGCAGGAACATTTTAAATATAGTTGCAAAGGCAAATACATTAAAAATGAAAAAGATTTATTTTTACTGACAGAAAAGGGAGTTTATCCTTATGATTATTGTAATGACTTCAATAAATTTAATGACACTGAACTACCAGAAAAGAAACATTTTTATAGTAGATTAAGTGAAGAAGATATAAGCAATGCTGACTATGAAAGAGCAAAACTAATATGGAAGCACTTTAACATCAAAAACCTTGGTGAATATCATGATTTATATCTAGAAACCGATGTATTATTATTAACAGATGTATATGAGAATTTCAGAAAACAATGTCTAACAGATTATGAATTAGACCCCGCCCATTACTACACTTTGCCTAACTTTGCTTGGGACGCGATGTTATTGAAAACAGGAATTGAACTTGAACTTTTACATGATGAAGAAGTTTATAAAATGATAGAGCAAGGACTAAGAGGCGGTATGTGTCAGGTTTCAATGAGAAAAGCAACTGCTAACAATAAGTATATGGGAGATGCTTATGATGAAACAAAGCCGTCGTCCTACATCAATTATTTAGATGCTAATAATCTTTATGGTCTGGCAATGTGTAAGAAACTACCATACAAGAAAATAAGATTTGTTAAAGATAATTTTACAGAAGAAGACATTAAATATTACAATAGTGATTACAGTAGCAAAGGATATATTTTAGATGTTGATTTAGAATATCCGAAAGAATGCCACGACAAACATACTGACTATCCATTAGCACCAGAAATTATGAGTGTATCAGCAGATATGCTTAGTGATTATCAGAAAGAAACCTACAAAGCATATCATTTTAATCATGCTCCAAAAGATGAGAAAACAAACAAGTTGATACTAAATGTTATGGATAAACAAAATTATGTTTTACATATTGACATTTTAAAATTCTATTTGAAACAAGGACTTAAAATCAAGAAAATAAACAGAGTAATAGAATTTAGACACAAGCAATGGTTGAAACCGTGGATTGACTTTAACACAGAGAAGCGAAAGAACGCTACAAGCGACTTTTCAAAAGATATGTACAAATTAATGAACAACGCGGTTTATGGAAAAACGATGGAAAATGTGAGAGAACACATTGACTTTGAGCTGGTTGATACACCTGAACGATACCAAAAATGCGTTAATAATCCTAATTTCAAATACAGGCATATCATCAATGAAAATCTTATAGGAGTTGAAAAAGCAAAAAGTGTAGTTAAATTGAATAAACCAATATATGTAGGAATGAGTATTTTAGATTTATCAAAACAACATATGTATTCATTTTACTATGACATTATGAAACCGAAATATAAAAATAATATCAGAATGTTATATACTGATACTGACAGTTTTGTATTACATATTAAAACCGAAGATGTATATGGTGACTTTAATGACATTAAGGATTTTATGGATTTTAGTGGTTATGAGCCTAAACACAAATGTTATGATAAAACAAACAAGAAAGTTTTAGGAAAATTCAAGGATGAAGCAGATGGAAAGATTATAACAAACTTTATAGCATTGAAACCTAAATCATACTGTTTCAAGATACATAATGAATCAAAAGAAGAGAAGAAGAGCAAGGGAATAGTTAAGCACAAAGTTAAGAAAGAACTGTCATATAATTCTTATGATGACACACTCAAAAACAATAATTGCGACACTATAACATTCAACAGCATAAGAAGTAAAGCCCATCAAATATACAGCATCCAACAAACAAAACAATCGCTTAGTGCCTATGAGAATAAACGCTTTTACATAGACAGTATTAATTCACTTCCCTATGGACACTACGCTATTACGAAGTAATAG